CGTGTCACTTCTTTTAAGTCTGTTGGGTTATGTTTTAACTTTTTGAAGAAATGCTAAAGTGTTTCCCAAAATGGCTGTATCATTCTACATTCCCACCAGCAATGTTATGAGTTGTGAACCAAGTTATGGTCCACTCAGACTCCGGTGACCTTATGTGCATCAGAGTGGAACAGTTTTCATTGGCTGAGTTTTTGGAAGTAGATCATCAAGCCTTTCTTCCAATATGCCTGCCTGTGAACTTGAACCTCCAGCCTTTAGGTTTGCAGCCAAGCACGTTAACCATTTGCATCACCCAGGGGCTACCTCCAGCAATGTAACAGGGTTCAGTTTTCTTCTCCATGTCCTCACCAACACTTGGCTCTTTAGTTACAGCCATCCTTGCTGTTACACTGGTGACCTCTAGTGGATGGGAAATGCTATCTCACTGTGGTTTTGATTTGCATTTTCCTGATGTCATCTTTTCCTGTGCTTATCTGTCATTTATATCTTTTCTTTGGCAAAATGTCTATTCAAATCCTTTGCCCATTTTAAAACTGGGTTATTTGTTCTTTTATTATTGAGTTGTAAAGGTTCTTTGTGTAATCTGGATACTTGTTGCTGTTGTTGTTATGTGCCTAGCCCTTATCAAATATATGATTTGCAAATATTTTGTTCTATAGGTTGTCTTTTCACTTTTTTGATGGTATCCTTTGAAGCACAAAAGTTTTTATTTTTATTGCTATATAATTCACCTACCATAACAGCACAAAAATTTTCAATTTTGATGAAATCCAACCTAAAGTTTTTTCCCTTTTGCCCATTGTCTGAGGGCGTTGCCTGACTCGAGGTCATGGACATTTGTTCCTGTGTTTTCTTCTAAGAGCTTTTTAGTTTTAGATCTTATGTAATATCTTTGATCCATTTTGAGTTAATTTTGATGTATGGTGTCAGGTTTTTGACCATTTGAATGTTGTTGTTGTTTTGTGCCGTCGAGTCGGACCCAACTCATAGTGACCCCTCCTTGGGTTTCCAAGGCAGTAACACTACGGAAGTAGATTGCCTCATCTTCCTTCTGAGGAGTGGCTGGTGGATTTGAACCACCAGCCTTCTGGTTAGCAGTCAAATGCCTTAAGCACTATGCTACCAGAACTATTGCATAGTATTCCATTGTGTGTATGTATCATAATTTGGTCATCCACTCTTCTGTTGATAGGCATGTAAGTTGTTTCCATCTTTTTGCTATTGTAAATAGTGCTGCAATGAATCTGTTCTTGTCCTGACTCTCACTTTTTTAGGATATATACCTAGTAATAGGATTGCTGGGTCAAAAGGTATTTCTAATTCCAGCTTTTGAAGGAATCACCATACTGTTTTCCATAGTGGTTGTGTCATTTTACAGTCCTACCAGCAGTGTGTGAGAGTCCCAGTCTCTCCACATCCTCACCAGCAGTTGTTATTTTCTGTCTTGTTGACTTTTGCCATTAGTGCTGGGGCAAGATGGTATTTCATTGTTGTTTTGCTTTGCATGTCTCTGATGGCTAAAGATCATGAGCATTTCTTCATGTATTTGCTCGCCACCTGAACATTCTTTTTGGTGAAGTGTCTTCTGCCCATTTTTCAGTTGGATTGTTAATCTTTTTGTTGTCGAGGTGTTGGAGTTTTCTATAAACTTTAGAGGTAAGTCCCTTGTCAGATATGTTACTTGGACCCATGGCTCTACGTGTCTCTCCTTATGCCAGTTCCACACAATTTTGATTATTGTTGCTCTGTAGTAAGTTTTGAAGTGTGAATGCCCCAACTTTGTTGTTCTTTTGTAAAATTGTTTTGTCTCAAGTAAGCTTTTGGAGAGGCAGTAGAGTGTTGTGGTTCAGACCTGGAGGTCTTGAGGCTGTACACCTGAGTTCCAGTCCATCGATGAACATTTAGTTACAGGAAGTACAACATGATAGTTGATTCGGAGCCCACAGAATAAAATCAGAACCAAACTTATTACTGTCAAGTCAGTCCTGACTTATGGCGACCCCATGTACATCAGATTAGAAATGTTCCATAGAGTTTTCTTGACTGTAATCTTTACAGATAGATTGCCAGACTTTTCTTCCTTGATGCCTCTGGGTGGCTTCAAACTGCCAACCTTTAGATTTCTAGTCAAGCACACATCTTTTGGACCACTCAGGGAGCCAGGATGTCTGGGTTCGAATCCTAGCTCTCCCAGTAATAACTGTGTGATCTTGGGCAAATTACCTCTCTGTGCCAAAGTATGTTGTTGTTATTGTTGCTAGGTGCTGTTGAGTTGGCTCGGACTCATAGCTGTACGATAGAATGAAACACTGCCCAGTCCTTCACCACCCTCACAATCCTTGCTCTGCTCGAGCCTGTGGTGGCAGCCACTGTGTCAATCCATCTCATTGAGGGTCTTCCCCTTTTTCACTGACCCTCCACTTTACCAGGCATGACATCCTTCTCCGGGGACTGGTCTCTTCTGACCATATGACCAAAGTAGGTGAGATGAAGTCTGGCCATTCTTGCTTCCAAGGAGCATGTGTATAAGGAGCAAATGAATAAGGTAGCTAATAATCATACCCACCTTACAGGGTTGTTATGAGTATTAACTGATTGAATATGTGTGAAGTACTGAGCACAGTGCCTGGTTCATAGTAAGGGCTCAGTGAATATTAGTAACAAGTTACTTGGATGTGACCGTGGACAGAGGGTTTTACTTCATGAACCATTTATCGGTAAAAGTGTGGCAATGACGTCTTCTCTGTCCATTCAGCACCTACTGGGAACCAGGCCCCCTTCTTGTTGCAAGGGATATAGTGGTAAACAAAATGCCTACTTTCCTCTCAAGGATTCATTTTGCTAAGGAAGCTGACAATCAACAACTACCTAAAACAATCTATTCTAAGATAAGAGCAAAGAAGAAAATGAAATGAAGTGATGTGTTAGAAAGGAGTGCAGGTTAGGGAAAGCCTTGCTGAGCAGGGATCTGAAGGATGAAGAAGGCCACCGTGGAGAGCACTGTGAACCATTCTGAGCAGAAGGATTGCCAGTGCAGTGCCCAGAAGTGGGAGAGAGGTTGGTGTGTGTGAGGAACCACGAAGTGGCCTGTGTGGCTGGAGCAGACTGAACAGGGGGAGAGTGGGAAGAGATTGGCCAGGGAGAAAATGGGGGATCATGGTTAGGACTTGGGCTTTTACCCAGTGAGATGGGGCCATGAGAATGTTCTGAGCAGAAAAGTGATGTGATATGACTCCAGTGTCCAGAGGGTCCCTCCAGCTGTGTAGGGGGCAGGAACAGGGAGACAGGAGGCAACTGCAGTGGTCATGTGGGAGATGAGAGTGGACAGGACACTAGGATGCTGTTGTTGTTGTTGTTAGGTGCCGTCGAGTCGTTTCCGACTCATAGCGATCCCATGCACAGCAGAACGAAACGCTGCCCAATCCCGCGCCAGCCCCACAGTCCCTGCTATACTTGAGCCCATCATCGCAGCCACTGTATCAATCCATCTTCTTGAAGGCCTCCCCCTCTTTCGTTGACCCTCCACCCTACCAAGCATGACATCCTTCTCCAGGGAATGGTCCCTTCTTACAACATGACCAAAATAGGTGAGACGAAGTCTGGCCATTCTTGCTTCCAAGGAGCATTCTGGCTGCACTTCCTCCAGGACAGATCTGTTAGTTCTTTTAGCAGTCCACGGTACTTTCAGCATTCTTCGCCAGCACCACAACTCAAAAGCATCAACTCTTCTTCAGTCTTCCTTATTTATTGTCCAGCTCTCACATGCATACCAGGCGATTGGAAATATCATGGCTTGTGTCAGGCGCACCTTAGTCCTCAATGAGATATCCTTGCTCCTCAGCACTTGAAACAGTTCCTTCGCAGTTGACTTTCCCAATGCTACACGTTGTCTAATGTCCTGACTGCTGCTTCCGTTGACATCGATTGTAGAACCAAGCAACGTGAATTCCTTGACAACCTCAATCTTCTCTCCATTGATTGTGATGCTGCTCATTGGTCCAGTTGTGAGGATTTTTGTTTTCTTTATGTTGAGATGTAATCCATATTGCAGACTGTATTCTTCAACCTTCATCAGTAGGTGCCTTAAGTCATCCTCACTTTCAGCAAGCAAAGTTGTATTGTCTGCATATCTCAGGTTGTTAATGATTCTTCCTCCAATCCTGATACCAGAGGTTCAAGCCGGATTCAGAAGAGGACGTGGAACAAGGGATATCATAGCATGGCTGGAGAGTGGCATAGTTGGCAGGATTGAAAGGGCCCTAGCCAAGCCATCCCTCAGGATAAAGAGCCATGCAAAAGTGGTTAGCCCCAATACATCCTTGTCCCTCGTCCCACAGTGGCTTGAATACAGCTTTTCTTGGGGAGGCCGCTTGGCTTTTGCTTATACTGTTACATACACTTAGAGCACCCTTCTCCTTCTGTCTCCACTCCATGCCCTGCCTGCCCTTAGGATCCTGGCATCTCTGAGATGTTGTCTCTATCTGCCCCCTCACCCTTCTCCTTAGTTCCTCCCTGTCTAACTTCCCCATCCCATATCCCACTCTCTGGCCCCAGCTTCAGAACCTGGCTGTCCTCTGACTGAGGGGGAGGGTGACAGAATCCAGAGAAGGTGGAAAACCACCTCAGGTATGGGATTGGAAATCCCGGTGTGAGGGCAGGGGCCACTGGCTGTTCTGGGGTTCCATTGTATTACTTTTTCACATCTTGTCTCATCCCATGCTGCCCTCCCCTTTGTATTCCTTGTATCCAAATTCTGTCTGAAGATCCCAACTCTGTACTCTTCTTCTTCAAGAAGACCACCCTGTGTCCCTCCACAGCTCCTAGTTCTCTACCCTCTTCTAGCCTAGCTCATCCCCCATCCCAGCCCCAAACCTCGAACACATTCTCTAATTGTTCCCACCCAGCCCCAGAAGACAGGCTACTTACTAAAGGTGGGGTCAAAGCATGGGGAACCCAGCAGCTTTCTTAAGGACAAACCTGTGGGACTATCTTACCCTCAGCCGTCTGAGGCCCTGGTCCGTAAGGGCCACCTGACGGGCCTAAAGCCCGTGGTGCTGGTCACCTTCCATTCTCCAGTCAACTTCCGCCGGTGGAAGATAGAACAGCTGCAGATCCAGATGGAAGCAGCTCCGTTGCGCAACAAAGGTGAGCCTGGAGGGGGTGCCTGAAGAGGTCACAACCTGGTGTGACTGGGGGTGGTGGTTAGTGGTGGCAGACTCAGTGGTGGAGTCCATGTCCTGGAGGAGATACTCAGTGGGGTGTATGGCCTAGAGGGGGGCATGGGAGATCCCCACAAGATCTATGAACTGGAGGGGGCTGCTGGCAGGCCTCAGAGCCTCTGCCCCCTGCCTACCAACAGAAGCCTGTGACGCAGAGGTGTGTGCCATGAACTGGTACACACCCATGCCCATCAAGAATGGCAGCGTGGTCATGAGTGTGGATATCAGCAGCAATGGCCTGGGACCTCTCATCCCCAGAAAAAGGTGCCCTTTCCCAAGCCCAGGACAGGGAGTAGGCTCCAGGGGGGACTTCCTGATCCCCAGGTCCCCAAAAGACACGTGGGGAAACCAAAGGGAGGGAAGAGAATGGAAGGCAGTTGGAAGGGTCCTGAGAGGGGTCCTCACCTGTGCCTGCCCTGCCCCTATTGCCAGGTTCTTCCTGAATATCAATGGCTACATCAAGATGCAGCCAGACAACACACTCCAGTTCACGGTGGGGAATGAGGTAAGGGGTCTGGGTGGTGCAGAAGGGAGACCGTCTGTGCCTCGGGCTGGGTCCTGACTTCTTCCTGAGCAAGCAGGACCTGGACCTGCCTGAGGGGAAGTGCTTTACTAAGGGTAGTCACATAGAAGTCTTTAAAATGACCCTGTGAGGGGAAATACCCTCACCCATTTAAAAAAAACAAAAACTTTTTATTGTGATTTGAGTGGTTTACAGAGCAAATCCATTTTGCATTTGGCAATTCATGCATGTTTTGTTTCAGGCCATTGATTGCAATCCCTGCAGTGTAACTGCACTCATACCATTTCCTGCCTGTGTTTCCCTATCCTTCTTTCCCATCCATTCCTGCCTTCTGAACTTTGTCCCTGGGCAAATGCTGCCCTTTTGATCTCAAATAGAAATAGTTCATTGTTCTAAAGAATGTGTACCTCCCTGGTGGTACTATTCACCTTGTAGACCTAATGTATGACTGAAAGTTGAACTACAGGGGTGAGTTCAATTCCTGGCTTGAAGGGTGACTGAGGGCCATAGTCTTGGGGGTTCCACCAGTCTCTATCTGACAAGTTAGGCTGCTTATTTATTATTTTGAATTTTGTTCCACAGTTTTCTCCCACGCTATCTAGGACTTTTTAATGTGATCCCTTTTAGGGTGGTTGGTAGTGGTAGCCAGGCACCATCTAGTTCTGGTCTCAGGGTTATGGAGGCTGGCGTTCACACGGTCTAGCAGTCCTTTGGACTAACTGTGTCCATGTGCCTTTGATTTCTTCACTCTTCTTTGTTCTTGATGATAAGACACCAATAGCTGCATCTTAGAGGGCTGCTTACAAGCATTTAAGACCCCAGTCACTACTCACCAAAGTAGGCTGGAGAATATTTTCTGGACGACTGTGTTCATCTACTGTTTTTGAAGACAAGAAAACCAAGGCCTCACAGTCTCTCAGCAGGTTCATGTGGAACAAAGACTTGAAACTGGTCTGTACTCAACTGATTCTTAGATCTGTATTGTTCCTTTTCTTTTTCTTTTAATAATAGCTCAGTGTGTTTTCAGTGTTTACACAGCAGTTTAGGTTCCCATTCAAAATTTCTACACCAATTGTTTGCTAACACCTATTGCCTTCTTCACAATGAGTGAACATCCTCATCATTTCCACTCTGGCTGTTCCATTTCCATTAACCCAGCTTCTCTGTCCCCTTACAGTCTTATCTTTGTTTTAAAGTAGTTGTTGACTGTTGAGTCTCATATGGGTGTTTTTTTTTTTTTTTTTTTTTAAAGGAGCGTAATACTTATGGGTGGTATTAATTATTTTTGAGCTAATTTGTTATTTTGCTACAAAGTAACCTCAGTTTCCACTCCGGGTTTGAAGAGTATTTCAGGGTAGTAATCTTGGGGAATCCTTTAGTCTTGAGCAGTCCAGTAGATCTGTTTTTGTTTGTTTTTTTTAGGACTTTGAGGTTTTATTCCACATTTTTCTCCCATTCCACCAGGATCCATCATCTGTTGTGGTCAGTAGTGGTCGCCAGGCACCATCTAGTTCTTCTGGTCTCAGGGTAGTTGAGGCTATGGTGCAGGTGGACTGAGCATCCTGTAGACTAGTGTCTCCACCGAGTCTTTGGTTTCCTTCTTGCTCTTTTGCTCTAGATAAATTGAGACCAACAGATGACCACTAATAAGCTTTTAAGACTTCAGATTACTACTCATCATACTGTTGTTGTTGTTGTTATGCGCCATGGAGTCAGACCTGACTTATAGCGACCCCTCCTTGGGTTTCCAAGGTAGTATTACTACAGAAGTAGATTGCCCAACCTTCCTTCTGAGGAGTGGCTGGTGGGTTTGAACCTCCAGCTTTCTGGTTAGCAGTCAAGTGCCTTAAGCACTATGCTACCAGAGCTCCTCTCATCAGACTAGGATGTAGAATATAACTTTATGAATTATATTATGCCAACTGCCTGGGATATCCCAGAAGACTATGGTCCTAATTCTTCAGACCCCAAAATCCTATCCCTTGAGGTGTTTGGTTGTGTCTAAGAAGTATCTGTAACTATGCCCCTATTTGCTTTATTACATATATGAATATATGTGCATACAGTCACTATAGATGTGTTTATAGATGCATATATATGTGTGTGTGTGTGTGTGTGTATAAGGAGCTCTGGTAGCATAGTGGCTAAAGCACTTGACTGCTAACCAGAAGGCTGGCAGTTCAAACCCACCAGCCACTCCTCGGAAGGAAGGTTGGGCAATCCTACTTCCATAGTGATACTGTCTCGGAAACCCAAGGAGGGGTCGCTATGAGTCGGGGCCGACTCGACGGCACATAACAACAATATGTATGTATGTGTATATATATATATATATATATATATATATATATATATATATATATATATATATATACACACACACATATTTATACACACACACACACACACATATATGTATATACATACATACATACACACACAAAACCAAACTCACTGCTGTCAAGTAAGATCTCACTTTAATGACTCCTTGGGTTTCCAAGGCGGTATCACTACAGAAGTAGATTGCCCAGCCTTCCTTCTGGTGGCTGGTGGATTTGAACAGCCAACTTTCTGGTTAGCAGTCAAATGCTATTCTGGTAACCTAATGCTGCTCTGACAAAAATATACCACAAATGGTATGGCCTTAACGAACGAGAGTTTATTCTCTTACAGTTTGGAGGCTTTAAGTCTGAGTTCAAAGTGCCAGGCTCTAGGGGCTGAGTGAAAGCCCCTCAACTTTGGGGTTCAGCTCTGTCTGCCTCCTACTCCCAGCCCACTGGAGGTAGATGCTTTACTTCACTCAGACAGCTGCTGACTGCTGAGACCGAGAAGCCCCATTGTTGACCCATGCCCAAGTAAAAAGGCGTGACTCGGATATTACCAAACTACATGGGAGGCCATTAATTCAAGTCCATTGAAAGTCCCATCTGCCGATCTAGCAGAGCATGGCAGGCTGCTGAACAATGACACAGCTACATGCAGAGTCCAAGCATGCCATAAGCTGGAGACTATCCCCAAGGCTTCTCCTTATATACAGGAAGCAGACCACATCCCAAAGGCAGCTACTCAGCTGGTTGTGGTAGATCCCACTATGGAGCTGATTGCCAATCTCATCATGGGGAATAACTATCACCAGCTGCCAACCACTCAACCAGGCCCAGCAAAGTTGACATACAAATTTAACTACTGCAAATGCCTTAGGCACTACACCACCAGAGCTCCCATACACATATATGTACACATATATACATATATATATGTACTTATACACATGTATGTCTACTATGAAATGGTGGGAATGATAGTGGTAGTAGCCTCCAGACATGTCTAACTTCATGGAGAATAATAAGAATTATCATAAACTCCAGGCTGATCCCTGTGAGGTAGAGATCAGACATACCTCCACTCCCCAACCTTTTTAACAATCCTGATACCATCTGTCCCTCCCACAGCACTCTCTACTTCTTTGCTGGGTTCAGTAATCCATTGCAGTGACCAAACAGAACTCACAGACCATACTTACAGTTAAGTGGTTTAACTTAGGAACAGGGTACAACTCAGGATCAGGAAGGATGTAGGCACAGTCTCCCTTTTCCAGTGCAGGACAGCTCCCTCAGTCCCTGTCAGGTGTGCAGATCTCTTTCAGGAAAGGCTCCTCCGGGTTCTGCCATCTGTCGCCTCTGGCTCTGCTGCGGGGCCCTTCCAGGCCTCTCACCATCTTCAGTGTTAGAGGCCTTGATGTTCCAGTTACAGGCTGTTTTAGAACATGCCTTGTGTCCTCTCCCTCTGCTTCTCTCTTCTTTCTTTCTTCTGCTGCTTCTTTTCCTGATTATTTCTATCTCCCAAAATCTCTTTGTCAATTTTAAGACATTGCCTCTTCCAGCGCGGGGAGAGGGCACAAACTGACCAATCCCCTCTTGATAGGTCACAGGCATTTCATTTGCATAGAAGGCTACAACCCACCTCATTTGCATAATCTATTGACTGTAAAAGTTAGAGCATTGCAAAAAAGGACATGGAGGTAGCATCTTCTGACCTCCTCTAACTTCAAAAGAGAGAGGCAGGCATAATCACCATCAGCAGCCCAAGACTTATTTCTGTGAGGCCAGACATGCCTTTACCCTCCAGCCTTTTTTGCCAGTTGTGACACAAACTGTCCCTCCCTCAGCACTCCCTACTTCTCTACTGGGTTTGATAATTCATTGCAGTGGCCACACAGAACTCACAGACAATACTCACAATTATGGGATTTATTAGGGAAGTAACAGGCTACAATTCAGGTTCAGGAATGCTCTTGGGATGTAATTCTTCAATCAGGACAGTCTCTCATCTGCTGAACCCTCAGGCATGCCTCTCCGGCCCTTGGCCTCTTGGCTTGGCCTCTGCCCTGCACTGGCAAATGTTACAAAGCTATTTTAGTCTGCCAATAGGTTCACTCAGGTGCATCCCACTCCGTCAGCAAGCCAAGGGCACTCAGCTTTCTTGCTGTGTGGGCCAGGTAAGCCTGCTACTCTGTCTCGTCCTTCTTGGTTCCACTGTGACTGTCTCTGTGCTGGGCCATCTCTCTCTGTCAAGCATCTCTTTCTGCCAGGCATCTCTGCCAAGGAGCTCCAGCACAGGGATCTTGGATCCAAGGACGCACTCTACTTCACCTCCAGCTCTTCTCTCTTGAGGGCAGCGAGATCCTCTCTGCCTCTAGGAAGGCTCATTTTAAGCCTGGCAGAGTGACAAAACTAACCAATCCCACATCAGAGTTCTACACACCTTATTTGCATGGTTCCACCCAGTAATCCAGTGGGAGTTACAAAGACTAGGCTAGAAAAGCCATACCAAGTAATTCACTGCACCCCCTGCCTTTTCTAGTCATTGTCCTTTTTATACTTTAAAAATTAATATCCCCTTTACAACCAGTTTAAGAATAAGCAAATCCATGAAAGTGTGTAAGCCAGCCACTTCATGCATTTATCTCTCCCTGTAATAGG